GTGAGCAAGTGGACCCACAATTGCAGGGTTTGGCTATGATATAGTGGACATTCTCTAAATGTGAGTGGTTTTAACCTCTGCTCTGTTTCAATCCTCAAACAGTTGTGGTTATCTTCCTCTCCCTTTCCCTCCATGTGCATGCACGACTTGTGCCTGGAGCAGACTCCGTGTGGGGCATTCTCCCATCTCAGTTTGCTGTCACCTCGTGTCCCACCTGCTGCCGTGGCTCTAGCAGCCATGGGGAATAGGTTGGGGTTGCTGCCGGTGCAGTCTCAGTAGAAGATTTAGATGTGTAGAAGCTATGGCAGTCAGCTCTGACTTCTGAAAGTTGTGGGCCTGCCGGGTGCGATGTTGGAGGTGCCACAGTGCTGCTGAGGGCAGCCCGCTTGTTTTCTCTGTGCACAAACAGCTGCGGCAGGGCTCGGATGATAGAGCGGCAGTGTGGTCAGGGGGAGGTGGGATGGAGTGAATCTGTGTGTTTGTAAGGCACCCTGAAGTGTAGGCTGCTGCATTTGCCATCAGGTCAAAGGTCGGGAAGTGGTTGCATCAGGTGTGGCCTTCCTGTACTGCTGTGCAGGTGCTGACCTTTGTGGATGGGAAGATGGCAGAAGAGCACTCATGATATATGGCTCTCACCTGTCGCACCTTCAGTAGGTCTCGGGGGTTGTGGTTATTCTCTAAAGCCATTTTGTTAACTTCTTGAATGTCGAGTGTATTATGACATCTGAAAGGACAATTTCTTCCTCTTTATTTTGTTCTTCCAAATTTTTCTTAGCCCTGGCCGTACTTTTAATACTCTGTTTGATTAAAATATATTTTAATCCTAGTCTTTGATATTAATAAAATTATCATATTTGAAGATGTTGAATTAAAACAATTTTGTATGAGATGATTGTGATTACATGAACTGTGTTATTAGGCTTCTAGTATTTATTTGTATTCCTGTGGTAAGCCTTATTAGGTTAACCTGTTGCTAGGTTTATCTATAAAGTAGTGGATCTCTGATGTGGTGCATGCACATGTGTAAGCATGCTGTCTGCCAGTTTTGAAAACAGGGTTTTACTGGCCTTATACATGATTTGGAATGCCTTCTGTCTTTTTCTGTATTTTGGAACAGTTTAAATCACAGGATCCTTTCCTCCTTCACTCATAGAAACCCTTTGGGGATGGTAGACTTTGTGGGAAGAGCATAACGTCTTTTTAAGTTCTTCAGTATTGGTCTGTTCAGTTGGAGTAATTTGGTGGGGGGGTCCATCTTGGTAATTTATTCTTTTAACTGTCATCTGTCAAAAAGTTCAGATTTTTTGGCATGCGGTATCAGTAAACATTTTTGTATTCGCTACATCTGTGGTTGCGTTCCTTTGACATTTTTAATGCTGAACATCTGAATCTGTTCTTTGGGCTGACTTTTCAGAGGTGTGTGTGTTCGGTTTGGTCTTTTCAGAATTTTTTTTTTTTTAATCAGTTCCACCAGGGTTTTAAGGTTCACTAATTTTTGTTTTTATCTTATTGTCTTTTTTTTTTAAGCAGGTTGAGTTGACTGCTCATTTTGATTTCAGCCTTTCTTAGAGTATTTGTAAAGAATGAGTATTCTTTGTGAGATCTAAAGCTCTGTTAGGAGCTTGCCAATGGTTTCAAATGGTGATACCCAAATCCTTTGTATCCTAATTTTTAAACTTTTTGTTTTCTGTAATCTTGCTGTTAGGAAAATATAGAAAATGGTCAGGGCCCCTCAGATATTCAGAATCTTGCCGAGCATCTGATGTGAATAGGCATGTGTGCCCAGGTGTTCCTTGTTATTGTGTAATGTGAGTGCGCGTGTGCACCCAGATGTTTTGAGTTGTGGACTTAAGTATAAGGGACTAACTTTCCCAGATGCTCTGGGAAGCCACTAGGGTGGCTACGTCCAGCTCTGAATAAAACCTATTGTTTCTTCACCCCACGGCTCCCAGGACTTTTCCTATTACCTAGCTCGTAGACCTGCGTGTGGGGGTTTTGTGACCCAGTCTGTGAGCCCTAGCTCTACATTTGCTTTTTCTCTGGGGGAGGCTGTGGTCAGGTCTCCATGCAGGCTGTGAGTGTGTCACTTTGTCCAGGACATTCTAAGGTCTTTGCTTTTGTGTTTATTGTGTTTTTTGTGTTTTTGTGTTATTTGCTATTGTGTTTATTCATGGCTCTTAGTGTATCGTCCCCTTTAAAACAGGAAATATCCCTCTTTATTTCTTTTTGTCTATGTCGGCTGGGTCACAGACATTCAAACTCATTCTGTGCAGACTGGGTCACAGACCCCTCATATGCAGGTTGTGAGCTAGGTAATTGCAAAAAGATCCTGGGAGCTGCAGGCAAGGTTGACATGCTTTATTTAGATGTGAGCTCAGTCGCCTAGCCTCCTACTGGATCAGAGCTATTGTCTTTTATGCTAGGGTCAGATAGCCAAGGAACACCTGGGTGCACATGCGTAATTAACGTATTTACAACAGACAGGCCTGAGCCATGCTCAACCAGATGTGAGGTGAGGGAGCCTGACCAGTCTGTCTCCATTTTCCTCACAGTCTGATATAAGGCTACTCCTACCCTTTTTTTTTGTTTGTATTTCCTTGCTTTGGTCATTCCCATATTCCAACTTTTAGTGCCAGTCTAGTTATAGTCTCTTAAACGTGAGGCTGGGTTTTGGCCTTAACCAGTGGAAAGTCTCGCTGCTAATAACCCTCTGTCATATGGTGATGACCCTTAATGTGTTTAGTCTGAAACCTGCTGTCTTATTTTCTATTTTATATTTTCCTGATTTTCACTATTTTCTATTACTTTTCCTCCCTATAGTGGTTTGATAATTCTACATTCTCTTTGTTTTCTAGTGTTTATGTGGAAGTAGCAACTATTAGTAATAGGCTTACATTTTTACATTTACAAATGTA